GGCGTGTTGGTGAGCTAGCCGAGCCTACTCGAAAGAAACCCCGCTCTCTTGCCTTTCGGTAGCGATCTCATCCACCAAGTACTTCACCCGATCTTCTTGTTCTTGAATCTCATGCTAAGATGATTGATTTCCTCCTTGAATTTTTCGATCATGGCTGACTTTTTGCTATTGTACGCTTTTAGGCCTTTCAGCATCTCCTCCCATATCTCCAACTCTCGGCGCTACTTGTTGTTGCTCTGCCTCCAGGCCATCTACTCGGCCTCCTTGATAGTAGCATTCTTCTTGGCCTCTTCCCAAGCACCCTTTCAGCCTCTGACACCTCTTGGAATTTGAGATGGAGGCCTTGCACGTGCTTAATCTAGGAGAATATCTCGTGCTTGACTAGAGCTCCCCGCAGTAAATAGCCTTCGAGGGCTTGGTGAAGGCCAACATTAGGCATACCCGAGAGGATTTCATCATCTCGAGGGAGATAGAACTGCTCCAAAGCCTGAGCATAAATAACCAGAGATTCAAGGACCGACCCTATTCTATCGAGGTGTCATCTCGGAATGAATCTAAACTCCTTTGATGGTTCACTATCATACTGTGGGCCTTCCTTAGATGATCTCATCATCATAATTCTTAACCCCCCCCCCACAAGTCCAACTCAAGCACGTCAATTGGGTGGGGGAAGGGCTACCATATGCAACCCTCAGGAGTAGGAGGTGCCTTGGTTGCTGCCAACTCCTCACTCGACTCATTGCCCTGACGATATGCCAACTTGGCTGGTAGATGTTTGGGAAGAAAGTCGATTTGTTCATTGCTGTGTTCATTATAACTTCAAACGTTACAATAAAAACAAAAGTTAGTCTTTTTATAAGACCTTTACATAATAAAAACAAAAAAAGTACATCTCTCATCAAATAGCACAACGAATGTTTATCGCCCGCTGCTTGCGTGGGATCTTGGCCTGTGACGGGGACATTGATATCCGTGGACCACCAAACGACCAGATCAGATCTAGAGCTTCGTTGATTCATGAAGGAATCACGAAACCAAAATAATTATCTCGGTAACAGCGAGATAATCACTTTTCTCGAGATTACCGTAACGGGGCAATCTTAAGGCAAAGGACTAGGAAATGTAGATATGATGAGCTCATCTTCTTTATGCCGACGAACTCGATCTGATCTCCTACTCTCTTCTAAAATTTGTGCTCCTTTAGTCTTCAGTTCAGCAAGGCTTCACCAACGCTCGAGAATTCAAGATCTGAAAAAATGAAGGCCCTGGGCTGTATTTATAGGCTTCGGGAGCTCTGTTTTCGTATAAAAATGGTTGATTCACTCTTATCCTCAGTTGTAACCACTTAACCACATTCTTAGATGATATCTTATCAGTTGGAACAAATTCAGATGGTTAACGATCAAAAAATAGCTTAAATCTGCCAAAAACAACATTTTTGGGCTGCGAACACGTGTGGGTGTCTCGGCCAAACTTTGGCCTGAACTTGGTTTCACGCGTTTTATCTGTTTCCACCGTATCTTCATCATCCGAACTCAAAATTACGTGGTTCAAGAAGATAACAAGGATATCTATAAGCTCCTATAGTTGAATTACATGTGAAGTAGACGGGACACGAGGGGTGCTTCGTCTTTTGTAAGCGATGTGCATCTCCCGATTAGTTCGTGTTTGGTTATTCTGAAGTTCTGTTGCTTCACACGGTCCGTCAACTTACTTCATGTGCTTATCAACATTAAATAATCTTTTGTGACGCAGATAGCGATGTTCATCATTTTCTCTCTATCTCGAGCCGCGTGTGGGGACCTATAGGTAATTTTTAACACCTACAGATACCCCCTCCAAAGTGTTTTAGTCTCGTTTCATTTATAGAGGAGCCTAAAATACTTTGTATATGATTAGGCCAACCTTCAGTCAATGTAAAAGGACCTGTAGTTAGCTTTGACTCTTGACTCCTTTGATTTTTA